ACTTTGCAGAGTATAATTCCGCGGATTTCCTGCGTCATAGATAAATCAAAATTCACTGAATTGCTGAAATCGGAGAAGACTACACGATTGGGAATATTTCTTGAAGGGCTGACATCCTGTGTTAAATATAGGTAGTACAAAGTCATAAAACATGTTTGAGGATTTAGCTCCAGAAGCTTCGCAAAGTTTTCGATCACCAGTGGGTTCATTACTTCGCAACGGGTGAGGAGCCTCAGCGATAACTCTGAAAAAACGGATGGATAGTGGCAACATGCCCGCCAGCACTTCAAGACTCATAGTATGAGTCGAGTGCATGCATCCTAACGCGATACGAAGACAAAGATACTGGATCCGTTCCAGCTTGATGATGTGCGTTTTAGCTGCCGACTGGAAACAAAAACTACCATATTCTAGAACCGATAAAATCGTTGTCAGGTACAACGTCAGAAGATCTTGTGGATGGGCTCCCCACCACGTTCCGGTAATTGATCGAAGGAAATTGATCCTTAGTTGGCATTTTCGTCTCAGATACTCAATGTGGGATCTCCAGGTGCATTTGGAATCGAACCAGACCCCGAGATATTTAAAAGACAACTTCAATACCGGGGAATTCGGGAAGATTCACTCTATAGAAGGAATGGCACTTTTTGATCCCCAAAAGTACCCCTCCTCCACGTGAATCCTCACGATCCAATCGAATAATGTTAAAATCATAAAAAGGGAGATCAATTTCTGAAGAGAGCCATGTTTCACAGAGGGCAAATGATGATGATGATGATGATGGTCCCACCTCTTACCCCTACAAAGGTTTGAGCTGGACGAGTTATCTTTAAGATAATTAAATATAAACATTTTAACCAGGTTTGCAAACAAAATCGAGCTGGTTACAATTACAGATATAAATGTCCTGTTAAATATGCTATAGGCATCAACCAAAAACATTCAAAGGTGTAACTAGTTATCAGAAGTCCAAGTATAGTCCTCGACAATACTTCCATTTACACGTGACCTGGGATTTACACGTTTAAGCTTCCGCAGTGCCAGGACTATATCCAAGGAAACGACTTCCAGCCAACCCTTTACTAATTCAAGGCTTTTGCCACAATTTCCACGTATTAGTCATTTATACCTGTATTCCGCGCGCGAGGCTCAAACCATCGTAGACTACTCAAAGCTATTTTTACTATTACTACTACAAAATCAAAAAACTAAAAATCCATCATCACCATCGAGGCAAACAATGTAGTTTTTTGTATATGCTACACCAATTACTAAAATGTCCATATGACAGTCTCCATACAAAATAATCCGTTAGAGATAACTTTGTCAAGATACATGATTTAGCCATTCATAAAAATTTAACTGCTCAATAAACAGCTTTCACATGTGAAATGCAGCGTCTCTTGAATTCTGTAAGTGTAGTTGCACGCTTGATGTGTCTAGGCATCGAATTGAAAACATTTATACCTTTGAAAAATAATGAATTTTGTGAAGCATTATTCAAAAGATGTGGTGTTCTTACTTCATCCGCGTTTCTAGTGTTATATCTATGAAAATCACTTCCTCTTTCAATCCGATCACACAAATATCGAGGCAGCAAACCGTTAACTACTTTAAAAATGAACACCATAGTCAAAAACACAATTCTTTGCTTCACTGATTCACAAATGCATCGCAATTATTGTTATGGACTAAATACTTGAACGAATCTAATTTCGGGATAAGACTTCGACAATTCCACTGTAGAACAGTGATCAAATCCCCGACCTCGTTTGGAAAATTATCCATCGAAGGAGATGATAGCTGCAAGAAGGGGCCATTTTGAAGTCAATTGCTTCAAGAAGGATTTCACAGTGGGAAGCAATGTGAGGACAATGCTTTTCAGAGGATCAGAAATATCGAGGTAATTGAGGATACTGTCCACAATGTTATCAAATGAGAACAACCCAGATGAAGAAGGGGTTTCTGTTCTTAAAATTGGGGCATCAGGGGTTTTGGATGTCCCCGGAAGAGGTGGAAAATCCTGGGTATAGTCAGTTCTGCGGAATCCAGGAGGAGTAGAAGTCTCTTTTTTTCCACCCCATTTGGGGTTCTTTATTTGCAACAATCCGCGAACGGATGCGCTTTCGTTTCCGTGCAGAACCTTCCGGAAAACTGAAAGAAGTTCCCTCCTCAGCCAAGTCAGAATCAGTCTCGTCATCTGATAAAAGAGAAAAGGGATTTTTGTCATTGGTCGATGGCGTGGCTGTCTTAAGCATTTCTGCAAAAGACCACCTGGAACGTTCCTTAAGGGAGCGTTTCATTTTGTCCCCGAGCTGTTTGTACGCCGGGCACGACGAGAGAGCATGAGGAGGAGTTCCGTTGCAGTACACGCATTTTGGTGCAGTCGCTGCGCAGGCGCCATCCTCATGCTTCTCCCCGCATGTGGAGCAACGTGCCTTGTTGCCGCAGTGGGAGGCCGTATGTCCCAACCGCTTACAATGCTGGCAGTTCATGACCCGAGGTACAAATAACCGCACAGGAAGACGAAGTTTTCCCAGCTCGATGTATTGAGGAAGGGCAGATCCAGAAAAGGTCACCCGAAACGAGTCTGGGGGGTAAAACTCTTTTTACCCTCGCTGAGCGATACTGACTTCATTCTATGAACGGCCAGTATCTTTACCGGAGGAAGCAAGGGGTTCTTGAATCGGCCAACCGCTTGCTTCTCCAGTATCTCGGGGTTCAGGCTCGCCTCAGTGACCACGCCTTCGATCTCCACATCAGAGGCTGGAATGTACACCCTATATTCCAGTGTGAAAAACTGGGAAACAGCAATTTCATTGGCCTGTTTCAGGTTAGCGACGGTCACACGAAGTTTGTTGTGCCTAACCTTCGTTATTTCGGTCACGGCAGAGAATCGCTTTGTCAGATCATCAGATATCTGAACAACATTCAAGGGTTTGTTTTTGGGCTGAAAATAGACAACCCATGGGCCAGTCGAGTCATTCGGGTAGGCCCGCAATCTGGAGCTTTTCTCAGCCTGCCCATTGACAGACTGAGATGACGAACCAGGGATGACATCACCATTTTTCTGAGATGAATGGTCATCCATGTCGTCTTCTGACAAAACATCCATTTTGTTCAACTAGTGGGAGCGCAAAACGCTCTCCCACTGAACGCACAGACACAATACATAGAAAACACTACAAACACAGAAATACAAAATGAAAATTTAACTAATGGGGGAGGAAAAGAAACAAAAAAAAAAAAACTTATCTGATAATTCTATACTACTACCACCGAGCGCTATATGTGTAGGCGTTTACACAGATGGCTGGAAGAGACGCGCTGCGTGGATGACCTTCGTTGTGGTGCACTTGATCGAGGATCGGTACTCAGCGCACACAGGCGCACGATGATTGATGAACGATGTAGATGTAGAAACGGGTGCTCACATTCGATGATGATGATACGTGAGCGGGTATGCGTGAGCGCGTATGCGTGACCACGCAACGATGATGCCCAAATTGGTTTGCGAATTACCAATAGCACGGATTAATCGTTCCGAAAATGACACTTTCTACTTAAAAAAACTCACTTTTAGATCAATTTACCAGGAACTATGCCAGGAGTCACTTAGTGAGAAAAAACTGATAATTTATATCAAGCGAATACCGAAAAAACTTCCAAAACAACGGAGCGCGAAACAAGTCGACCGTACTTCTTGCTAGGACGCAGTGAGATGAGTATAGACTTCTCTGACGTTTATGAATTGTACAAGTATTAGTGCAGAACTTTGGGTGAATTCAAAGGTTTTCTTGTAACGGCGCCGGTGGTGTAGTGGTAAGCGTGATTACCTCTCAACCCCAGGCCTGCTGGTTCAATCCCAGTCGGCGCCGCCGTGATGTTCTGAGGCATAACATCTCTGATCACGCCTTCCTTCGGAAGGGAAGTAAAGTCGTTGGTCCCCGGTTCATGAGTTTGATGGGTCGATAGGTAGGGTCCAGGTGTGGGAGCTGCCTTCCTGGCGCGTCGGTAGCATTGGTGCTCAGCACGGAAAACAAGATCGACGGAAAACAAACCAAAGGAAAAAAAAAAAGGTTTTCTTGCACTAATACTTATAATTTACCCCGAGTTCTGCACTAATACTTGTGCATATCACAAACGTCAGAGAAGTCTATAGAGATTAGTGACGTTTAACTCACGCACACTAGCGGAAGCTACGCCGTGTAAAGTTATTTATTATTTTCCTCTGGCTAACCTAAAAAATGTATGAAAGTAGATCTGTCAAAATGAGTTTGACATCGATTTGTTATGTATTTTCCTCGGATAGTCACTAACACGCTCTCATATATCCTACCAACTCTATACTCTATACCATAGGTTCTCTAAATCGTCCTGCAGTTCAGATGATTTGGACCCTACACGTTTGCTTTTATTGACAATAATCGTATTGCCAATACATTCTATATTGACGTCAATGCATCGGTTTTGACAATAATTCTGCATTCACATCATCAATATTATTGTCAATAATTCCCCTTCGGTTCAATATATTGATACGTGTGGGGTTTGCTTATGTTCATGTTCAATAATTAGGGAAAGATTCTCATTCCGAACCTCTACAGGGAGGTTCCTCCACTGCTTCCAAACGAGCAGCAGATTTAGGATGCGGTCGATTTCGATGTGTCGGAATATCGTGATAGGCTAATGCACGATGAAGAAAGACCAATCCCCCCCATTCTGCGAGTCACGTGACTCTCTCTCACCGGTGAGGTCACAATAGGCACCTCGTGTGAGGTGACTCTCCATTTGATTTACATGGAGAGTCATCTCACACGAGGTGACAATTGTCACCTCACCGGTGACAGAGAGTCACGTGACTCGCAGAATAAGGGGGAATATTTTGATGCACCGCTGGCGGTATTGAGGGCCGGTTAATCATCTGTAACTTCGGCTGTGGTGTAACTGTAACTAATTCAATTTCCGATTCGGTAGATGACCGAAAACCGACTACTTACCTCAGTGCTTCCTCGGCCAGTGCCGACTGGTGGTGCAGTAGGTTGAGAATCCGTTTCGGGTCCGTATCGAACAGGCCCAGCCCGAGCGGGGCAAATGGAAACACGAACGGGATGGCACCGACCGCCGCTCCGGGAAATCCGATGATACTGGTCGCCGGTGTTGCTGCTGCTGCTGCCGCTGCCGCCGCCGCCGATGCCGGGGCCGACTTGATACCGGTTGCACGGGAGTAGTTTCCTCCTGCCACCGAAAAGAAATGGTTCAGGTGATTCTGCGGGGTAGAAGGGATTGGAAGTTTGCCGGTTAGGTTAGCTTTTCGAGACAGGTGGGTGAGGGGGTGGTGGTCAATTTCTTTCCGTCCAATAATCGTTGCCAAGCGGTGGTAAATTAAATAGATAAAGTTTATTTTTTCTTTTTTATTGTGTGTTTTCACTTTTTTCATTCTTTTCATCATCGTCATCTAATAATTATAATATTTTTACAGCGTTTTCCCTTATGTTTTTTTTTCTTCTGTTTTTCATCTTTACTTTCGTCAAAATTGGATTTTTTTTCTTTTGTTTTTTTTTTTACAACTATGATATGCATTTTAAATTTGTTTTGCTCTCCATGTTCTTATGGTTGTTGTTGTTGTTGTTGTTGGTTTTTTTTTCTTCATTCGGTTTTAAAACTGTATCAAATTCTGCATTCTCATAACTTGCGTCAAACTGCACTGTGTGTTTGTTGGTTTGTTTTGAATTGTGTTTGTGTGAGTGTGAGTGTCGGTTTATTTTTGCTTCTGCTTATTCTTCTGTTTAACATGTCCATTAAGTTTGGTTACTCCGATGTGCTTTAATATTCCGTTTTTTTTTGTTCTCGGATTTCTTAATTAAAGAGAAAATTATGTCAACTCATGTGAGTGTTTAAGAGTGTTATCATCATTCAAGATTTTGGGTCTAAAGGCAGCTAAAAGTTTCTCATAATTTTATTTCTCTTTATTTATGTTTTTTTCATATCGCTTCAAAGCAGTGTGGAAGTCAATTTTGGTCATTTCTAAGTGTTTAAGGTTATATTTTTTCTTCATTTTTTTTTAATTGTCCCGAAAAGTTTCTACTTTTCCCGTAGAGGAAAACAGAAAATCAACTGCAACTCAAATGGACATGCTTGAAACCCAAAACTCATCTGCCATGCGGTAGTCGCTTTGACTCCTTCTGTTTCTAAGAAAACTAATTGAAACTGACGTTACGTTCTCAGCCCAGCTGCTGCGCTATATGAATATTTATATGTTAGTCTGCGTTCAATTCTCGGTTCTTTTCTCTGTTTGCTTGTGTGATCTATGTGTGTGTGTATGTGTTTGTATGTAATTGCTGTTGCTGTTGAGGGAGGAGGTTGGTTCATGTGGGTTTTTCACGCACACTCGCGCAAAGGGAGCTAACAAGTAACGCCACTCGCTCTGTGCGCGGTGTGCGTTTTGTCTATTTTTTTTTCTTTTCGTTTTCGCTCGTTCTCTGGCTCTATCTGCGGTGTAAATAAATCAATAATAAGAACTTCTGTAAATAATCCAGTTTTGTATTGTTTCGCTTAACTTGACCTTACTTTTAAGAGAAAAACTTCAACATAACATCAATTTCAATTGTTTTTTGTTTTGTTTTGTTTTTGCTTGTTTAGTTCTGCACTTTTTTCTCCTGTTTTCTATTTCAATGTATGTGTGTGTGTGATAGTAAAAATCAGAAAAGTATGAACAAATCAACTTATTTTGTTTTTGTTTCGCTTTCTGTTCTATCGGGTTTTGAAAAATATATTATTCATTATTTTGTTTTGTTTTTTTTTTGCACTTTATCTACACTTTTCCATCAAAACGATGCTTTTTTGTAATTTTATATTTTTTATGATACTAAGTAAAATCGATTTCACTTCTTTCCGCTCGCGTCTTAATTCGGATTAAATATGCTTAAAGTAACAAAAGCGATGCTTCCTACTACAAGTATGTGTGTGTGTGTGTGTGTTATTTTGTTTTGTTTCCACATTCGTTCCGCGCTACGAATGACCGGCGGCTGGTAGTCTGGCTTTCCACCAGAATCTTTCGACAAAAAATATAAACGGAAAAAAGATATCATTATTTTGCGTCTCACTAGAAACTAATGTTGCATCAATTTTCTGTCTGCCTAATAGCTTTTCATGTAGAACTTCCCTTAAATGGTACGACAATAAATCTAAAAGTATTTTGTAAATCTTCCTCTTCACTTGCTTGTTCCATTCAACTTCCTACCGTTGATGTTACTTAAAGAACGAATAAACTAAGGCAATAAGAACTAAGCATATGTAAATCGCCTCTCGCTTTCCAACACTACTACAGCTACTTTAGCGCACAAAAACTTAAACCACTAATCGAAGGAAAACGGAAAATCGAGGAGAAACGTTTTCTGCTTCTTCTTCTTCTTGTTCGTAAACGTAATAAAACTACGAAAGCCAACAATCGCTTTCTTGTTTGCTCATTTTTCTCTTCCTATCTGTCTCTCATTCGCCACGCGAAATCCGCCATCAATCGATTCTGATCCGCTGTTTTCTTTTCCTTTTGTTTTTTTTTCTCCATGTGTGAGTGTCACTGCACTCACCGCTTCTCTTTCGCTTCCATCTGTATCTCTTCTTTTTCTTTTATTTAATGTTTATATCTTTGAATTTTTTGGGAACAGGCACTACAGTGTGTGTGTGTGTTTTCTTATTTTCTTATCATTATTCTGTTCATTAATATTATTTATCAATAATAATATACTTTTTATGCTTCTTCTTCTTCTTCTTTTTTTGCTACAAGGTGTCGTCTTTCACACTTTGTCCATCTGTCTGTTTCTCTTGCGTGATCAAATGGTTGATTCATACAAGACGTTTGCGCTTGTATTGGTTTCTGTTTACTTCCGTTATGTTCAGCGTAGTTTTCAATTGTTCCTTCGCTCTGAGAAATTCCTTAAGCCTCTTATTCTGCTCCCGGTTTTTCTATTGTTTGTGTGTGTTCTCGATTGGGTTGGACTTCGGTAGAAAAAAATCTGTTTGTCAATATTGCATGTTTCTTTTCTCGAATGTATGTGTGTGTCTGTATGTGTGTGTTTCTGTGTGTTTGTGTGTAGCTTGGCACTCAAATTATACAGTTATTTCTGGTTATTTCTTTTACGGTTGTTTGTGTTAAAACGGATTGAGTTTAGTTCGTCTATTGAGGAGTGTTGATAGGTTATGTTTAGGGGGTAGCTTAGGACGTACTGTAGAAATAGTATTGATTAGGTGTTTGATTTCCATTTGAGACTGGGGTGTAGTTTGATTGGGCAAGCTTTCGATAAATTGTTTCCGAAACAACTGAGTGAATTGTCTGATCATAAGAATTTTAAAGGTTGCTGTTACTCTTAAAATCAAAGTTGCCTGAACGTAAAAGTCTTCTGGCCTTGTCCTGGAACTCCTCTGAAAAGACTTAGATTTCTTTTTAGAATTGCCGTTTACCTTGTCCAAGCATTCTGAGAAAGTCTTCTCTGTATGATCCCGTGTGAGTTCTTAGAGCTTGACCTGTAAATCTTCAAATTTTGATCCAAATGTCCTCTGAACTTGAATAAGACATTTTCTGGGCTTGGTTCTGGATGCAGTCGATAAGGTTAAGATTTAGGAAAGTTTATTAGCTTTGGTTTGAAGTACAAAGTCGACAAATTGCTGTGTCGGAAGTAGACATTGAAATATTTCGATATTTGACGCTTAACGAAATGCACGAAGATAACGGAGAAAACGAGAAGCAGCTTGTGTGGGCGGGATCATAAAACCCTATAGCTGGGTTTAGACTAGGCAAGTCAAATGATCAACTCAGTTGAATTCAATTGGCTTGAAAAGTTGAGCCTGGTTCAATTTTTTTTCAATTCAAGTGAGTTGATCAAGTCAGTTGAATGGCATGGTTTACACGTTCAATTCACGTTCAAGTAAGTTGAATTCAACTGACTTGATCAATTGACTTGCCCTGTCTAAACCCAGCTTAAGAGGAACAGGAGACAACTGGCTACTTACTCTTTTATCTCTATCTATTTCTCTATCTCTATCTTACGCACTTCAAATCGGCCAATCACGAGCTGGTTCGCGTTGGACAGAAAAGTGGTTCGTTTTCGTCCCCGTATTGTCTCCTCTTCCTCTTAAGCTGGGTTTAGACAGCATGCCAGTTGATCAAGTCAGTTGGACTTGATCAACTCACTTGAATTGAAAAAAGTTGAACCTGGCTCAACTTCTCAAGCCAATTGAATTCAACTGAGTTGATCATTTGACTTGCCTAGTCTAAGCCCAGCTTTAGGTTCGTGTTATAAAGAAAGTGAGTTATGATCGAGTCAACTGAACTGTGGAAAATGAAATTCGTCATGACGACGGTGCCGAAGTGACGTTTCTTCACACAAATTTTGGCAGTTCCTTATAGGATTTTGTGGTGGAGAATAAGAAAAAGTCCACCATATTTCACAGTGACAGTTACATATGCAATGTCCCCATAGAAGTGAAGGGCTACAGAGCTCTCGTCAACGCCAATAACTCATGGTTCTGTTGGATCTACTTTGTGCGATTGGACGTATCTTTTCTACGTTCGTGTTGATCGTGGAAGGATTCAGCTGGCGTCGTTCACGACACTGGAAATCCTCCAAAATGCATTGGCAAATAGTTCTTAGCAAACCAAAGTTAGAAGATTTCCAAACTAGTTTTGGGAGTCTTCGGGCAATGCCCAGAAGTTTTTCTGGATGTGACCGGAAAGTACTCTGAATATAACCCACAAGGCCTCTACACGGCCAATCAGAACGACTCAGCGACTGAATTAAATTGGCGCAGATCATCTAATTTCCATACGAAATTTACTCATATTTGGGAAAACCTACAGGAACTCATAGCTAATGAGTAACTGCAGGGTTTCCTAAATATGAGCAATTGAATTCAGTCGCTGAGTCATTCTGATTGGCCGTGTAGACTGGCTTGGGAAGTCCTTGGACTTGTTCTGACAGTCAAGTCGTCTAAACTTGATTCATAAACTGGACTTTCTCCGGAAATCCCCTGCATATGTGATCCTCTGTATTTTACGATGCAAGTTCTTAGAACTTGACCTGGAAGTCTTCAAATCTTGACCCAAATGTCCTCTGAACTCGAACTAGAAATTCTCTGGGCTTTGTTCTGGAAATCCTCCAAAATGCACTGGCAATTAGTCCTCAGCGAACTAGTTTTGGGAGTCTTCCGGAAATGCCCAGAAGTTTTACTGGATTTGATCGGAAAGTACTCTGAATATAGCCTACAATTGTAGGCCTCTAGATTGGCTTGGGAAGTCTTTTTGAATATACCTAGGAAATCTTCCAAACTTGTTGTAGACATCCCGTGGACTTGTCTTGACGACCAAGCCCTCTAAACTGGATCCATAATCTCTCTGCTTCCTAATGAAGGCTTCGGGACTTTCTCCGGAAATCCGCTGCATATGTAATCCTCGGTTTTTTCCGGTGTGAGTGTTTATATCTTGACCCAAATCTGAACTTGAACTAGAAATTCTCTTGGGTATGTTTAGGAAATCCTCCAAAATTCACTGGCAATTCGCTGAGGACTATTGAACCAGAGTTAGGAGTTTACTGAACTAGTTTTGGAGGCCTTCCGAAAATGCCCTTGGATTTGGTCGGGAAGTACTATGAATATAGCTTACAAGGCCTCTTGATTTGCTTGGGAAGTCCTTTTGAATATTCCAAGGAAATCTTCCAAACTCGACGTCCCGTGGACTTGTTTTGAAAGTAAAGTCCTATAAATTGGAACTCCTCTTGAATGGATCCAGAAATTCTCTGCTTCCTTATGAAGTCTTCGGCACTTTCTCTGGCAAACTGCACATGTAGTTCAATGTATTTGCCAGTGTGAGTTCTTAAAGCTTGACTTAGGAATCTTCAAATCTTGGCATTTGGCCCTCTGAACTTGAACTAGAAATTCTCTGGGGTTTGATCTGGAAATCCTCCAAAATGCACTGGCAATTAGTCCTACGCGAACTAGAGTTAGGAGATTTCCGAACTAGTTTTGGAGATCTTCCGGAAATGCCCAGATGTTTTTTTCTGGATTTGCTCGGAAAGTACTCTGAATCTAGCCTTCAAGGTCTCTAGATTTGCTTGGGAAGACAATTTTAATAAACCTAGGAAATCTTCCAAATCGTCCCGTGGACTTGTCTCGAAAGTCAAGTCCTCCAAATTGGAAGTCCTCTGAAATTGATCCAGAAATTCTCTGCTATTTGATGAAGTCTTCGGAACTCTCTCTGGAAACCTTCTGCACAAGTAGTCCTCTGTACTTTCCATTGTAAGCTCTCAGAGCTTGACCTGTAGGTATTTAAATCTTGACCCAAATGTCCTCTGAACTTGAACTCGAAATTTTGGCTTAATTCTGGAAATCCTCCAAAATTCACTGGCAATTCGCTGAGGACTATTGAACCAGAGTTAGGAGATTTCTGGACTAGCTTTGAGAGTCTTCCGGAAATGCCCAGAAGTTTTCTGGATTTGGTCGTGAATACAAGGCCCCTAGATTTGCTTGGGAAGACCATTTTTAATAAACCTAGGAAATCTTCCAAACTTGTTGTAGACGTCCCCGTGGACTTGTCTTGCAAGTCAAGTCCTCCAAATTGGAAGTCCTCTTAAATGAATCCGGAAATTCTCTGCATCCTTATGAAGTCTTCGGGACATTCTCTGGAAACCTTCTGCACATGTAGTCCTCTGAACTTGTACCAGAAATTCACGGAACTTGCTCTTGAAGTCCTTTTCATATGCTTGGAATTGAACTTCTGAAGTCCTTGAAACTATCGGAATCTGTGCTGAAATTTTTCCAAACTTTTTTATTAATATCCTAGCGAATTATGAACTTTGTGAAGTGCCTTTGAGCTTGACAAGGAGTCCTTTAAAATGAACTGAACAATCTCGCAACTTGGAAATCATAATAACTTCCGATAGTTCCTAACTTGGTCTAGATTTGAAGGTTTTATTTATTATCATTGTGACGTTTGAAGCCGGTTTCATTTGAAATTAACCTGGATTGATCTTCAGAAGCCCTCTGAACTAAACCTAGAAGTGCTCCAAAATGCCTCAAATATTAGAAACCCTCTCAACTTAACCAAGAAGTCCACTGAATTCGGTGTATACATTCTCGGGCCTTGAGCTAGAAATGCTTGCCCTAGAAAGCCCCTAATATTGGAAGTACCTCAGCGGCATGAGCTGGAAAACCTCTTAGCATGACCAGGAAGTCCACTGAATTTGGTTGATAAATTCTCTGAACTTGACCTAGAAAGGCTCTGGAATAATCCGAGCAGTTCAGTTTGAAGGCATCTGGTTTTGTTCCTCTTAAACGCAATGGAAACTCTCTCAACCCAGACCTAGGAATCTTATGGTCTTGTTTTGGAAGTCAACCAAACATGCCCAGATGTTCCTCTGGATTCTGTCAGGAAGAACTCTGAACATAACCTAGCAGTCATCTAGAATTGGTTTGAATGACTTCTTGAGGTCCTTGAAAGTATCGGAACCATGTAGCGCTTGACATCAATTTGTCCAAGACTTAACCTAGAAGGATTGGTCCTTGAGGCCTTCAGAACCCCTCAGAACTTGACCTATTAGTGCTCTGCATACAATGCACAAGAAGCCATCGGAAAGTGCCTTAGAGCTTGACATGACCATCGTCAGAACTTGATCTGAAAGACCCCAAAACATGACCGCGAAGTCCTTTGCACTGGAACTACAAGACTGGCTCAAAAATTGCGCTTGATTTGATCTGGTAATTCTCCCTGAAAATTCTAGAAACTTGTCCTGGTGGAGGCCTTTCGAAACTGAACTAGAAGTTTTCCGGACTTGTTTTTTAAGTTTTCCGAACACGGCCAGAAGTTCTTCTGAATTTGATCGGAGTTCAGAAAGTACCCTAAACATAGCCTTGAAGTCCTCTGGCCGTTGTTTGGAAGTTTTTTTTTTTAAGTACTTGAAACTATCGAAACGTGAACGGGAATCTTCTGAAGTTCTAAATTTACAACGCTTGAAATCTGTTTACCGGGGACTTGACCTAGAAGTCATCTTGATCAGTATAAGAGGTCTTTACAAGCCCTCTTAACATGACCTAGAAGTGCTCTAAAATGTACTGAAAGTCTTCCAGCAGTACCTTAGAGCTTGACTTGAAAACGCTTTCACTTGGGACCTGACCTGGAAGCCTTCTGAACTTGGTTTGGATTTTTCCTGGAAGTCCTCTTCGTATGTTTGAAGTCATTTGGTTTTACTATGTAAGTCCTTTAAAATACATTGGAAGGAGGCTGGTCCTCCTAGAGGTCTGCTGAACTTGAACCAAAATACTCAAGGCATTTACCTTTTGTAGAAGTGCCACTTGTCGGGAAGTTCTAGAAGTGTAATTCTCCAGAACATTCCCAGGAAGTCCTCTGACGTTGCCCTAGAGATTCTCAGAACTTGACTTGTGAGTCCTCTGAACTTAACCAGGAAGAAATGTGCTAGAATTGGAACCTGATCTAGAAGTACCCTGGATTTGTTTTGGAAATCTCCCGAACATGCCCGTCTAAACTTCCTTTGTAAGACTTTTGATGGCCTTGAAACTATCGGAAGTCTTTTTGAATTTGCGCAGAAAATATGCTCAACTTGTTCTGGACATTCATGTTCTGAATTTGAGATGTTTTCAGAAGTCCTCTAAACTGAACCTGGAAGTGCTCTAAAAGTTCAAGTTCTCTGAAGGAGGTCCTTGAAGCAGGATTCCAAGAAACTATCTAAATTTGTTCTGGAGGTACTTTGAAATACACCTTGAAAAAGCTATGAATGTGTCCGAAAAGGTCAAACTAATGAACAGTCCTCTGGATTTGGTCTAGAAGTGATCTACACTTGCTCTAGAGGTCCTTTAAACATGGCATTAGACTTTGCCTAGAAATACTCTGAACTAATCCTGACAGCCCTTTAGGGCCACAGGATCGGAAGACTTGTGAAATGCTCTCTACTAAACCTAAAAATTATTTGGATTTGAAGGCCTAAAACCTGTCAATGGTCAAGTCCACTTTCTCTGAACATAACCAAGAAGTCATCTAGAATTACTTAGAAGGCTGAACAAGTGTTGGAAAAAATCGACAGACGACAAAAGACTACCATCTGGAATAACTGAATTTGCTCTTAAATTACTTTGGACTTGACCTGGAAGGCTACAAGGTAGAAAACCATTCAACTAGACTGGATTTGTTCTGGAAGTTAGCCTTCTGGACATATGCCTAGATGATTTTCTCGTTTCGGAAGTTCTCTGGATTTGATTTGAAACCCATCTAGACCTTTTCTTGAATTGCCATGCTAGTCCTCCTAAGATGACCCAGCAACTATCTTAGCTTACCGTGCGGCGGTCTCTAAATTTGTTATTTGCATTAAGTTCAAGCCTTTTTTGGACTTGAGTGGGAAATTTTTAAAATCTAATCCGGGAGAACTCAAATTTGCTCTTGAGTTAGTAGAGGTTCTTTGTAGCTCACTGGAAGTCTTCTGGACTTTTCCGGAAACTGGAGTAAAGCTGGCAGATGGAAATACTTGTTTTGGAATTGCTTCGAACTTGTTTGGGAAGTTCATTGAATTTAGTCCCTTTGAACATGACCTACCAACCTAACAGACTTTCTTTTGAAGTCCTTTTATGGAGTCATCTGGATTTGTTCTAAGAGTCCTTAGATGCTCAATAAAATGCACTGGATCATTTTTCGATATTCTGAAGCAAACCTGAAACATTGCTGGGATTTTTTGGAAGTTTTCTAGACTTAACCTGAACCCAACATTCGTAGGAATTGTCCAGGAAGTCATCACAGTTTAGAATCTTATTTTGTAGACTGAGGAAAGGTGAATAAACCTCTGGAGGACGTTCAGAGGACTTTCCCGGAAAACGGACAAAGGAGTCTTAGTCTTGAGGTGTCCTCCCAACTAACAATTTTTGTTTTATTATGGTTTTGAAGTAGTTTATAAACCTTACAATGGACTTGAAGACCATAATAAAACCGGAAATGTTGCTCCACAGAATAGTTCTGCCTAGGTTAATAAGCAAGTTAATTATCCGCTCCATGGCTGTTCATGGCCCCAAAAATAGCCAACAACAGGTATACGAAGCTATGTCCCTAGCACCTAGGGTCTCCCTTTAGCTTCAGAGAAGTTAAGAGAGGCGATATTCTAGAAAAACTCAGAGTTCAAAGGATTCTTAAGAGAATTACAGAAAGCCTGTGAAAAGGTTCTTTCAGAGTTTTGAATGTTTATCGTTGCTTGAAATCTCCCAAGACAAGCTTAATGACTTATCCTGAACAACGCCAAAGGGTTTCCGGGAGCAGTTTGGAAGAAGTTTTGGCGCTGGGACTTAGGAGCCTCCTTTACCCAGGCTTCTGGGGACAGCTTATTAGACCTTCGAATGAGATTCAGATGACTATCGTGAAAGAAGGCCTGTGTATAAGCCTTCGGAGATTCCTACAGGCCTATCCGTATAATTTTGACAGTTTCGCATCGCTTGGAATCTCCAATGAATTTTCCAAAAAAAAAGGCCAGAAGGTAGCCGGGACCAATCTGGAAGAAGTTACAGCCAAGTAAGAGCCTCCTCTCAGCATACTGGCGAGGAAAGCTACATAAGTCTTCGAATGAGGTCCGGAAGACTGCCGTTACAACGTTCAACGGACTCTTGGCCTAGAAATTAAAAAAAATTAAAGAAGTTTAGTCTGGATCCCATGAGAGGGTTGTAGGACAAAAGGTCAAAGGACATAAGGTCGAAGCGACAAAAGGTCGAAGGGACAAAAGGCCGAATAGACAAAAGGTCGAATGGGCAAATGGTTGAAGTGAAAAAAAGGTCAAAATGGAAAAAGGTCAAAATGGAAGAAAGTTCGAAAGGACAAAAGGTCGAATGGACAAAAGTTTGAAATGGATAAATTGGTGGCTATCTCTCAAATATTTTTCCTTCTTTAAATCATGAGTAGTAGAAAAATAAAATAAAAAACTTCCATAATGGAAGATCTATATGAATCCCCGGAAAAATTTTCGCTAGAAAAAGTCAGAGTAATGGTCAACTGTCACAAGAAACTTCCGTTGTTTTCCCTGACACTCTTGGAAAAAGACAGTTGAAAATTGTGATCTGAAACGGGTTAAATTTTCATCGCCTGGTGTTGTTGTGATGATCCACATTTAGCACAAATCGAACATTGACGAATGCGATCTTTATGTAGCTGTTCATCCTAGGTCACAATAGATTAGTTTTGGCCAACTGGCATAGTTGATGCTATTCCGACACTTACATGAGCGATCGTCATCTCTTTTTTGTCATGCTACTTAGAATTGTTCAGAATCTTCCATTTGGGATGACTGTAGTCCTCCCTGAGATTGTCTGGAATCTCCCTGGAATTGTACGGAATCCTTTCTGGGATTGTTTGGGATCCCCTCTGGACTGTCATGAATGCCCCTCAAATCGTCCTTTTGACTGTCCAGAATCCGTGTTGGGTTTGCCCGAAGTCCCCTCTGATGTTGTCCGGAAGCCGTACTGAGAGAGTATGAAATCTTTTCTGATAATTGTCTGGAATCACCCGTAGGCTAGCTCAGAGTCCCTCCGTCATAAATCCCTTTTTCGATTGACTGGAATCCTGCCAGAGATTGTCCGAAGTCTTCTAGGGATTGTCCAGAATCCCTCTGGGACTGTCCTAAATCCTTCTTGTGATTGTCCATCAGAATCCGTATTATGTGGTTGCTAATGTTTCGCGTGCTATACGAAAGTGCAATAGCCGTATTACAAACGCAATTACGCCCCTTTGAAATGTTGTCACTGAATTATCTTTGCTTGACAGCATCGGTTTCAACCAAACAACCAGGTTGCTATGTGTAAATGTTGACAAAATTAACTCCGATATACTCATGATCGAAAGCTGTCTTGCCCCAAGGGACTTCCTGAGAATCCAAGAAATCATGGAAAAGCTCGCTCCCTAATTCTGGCGGAATATTTTCCCCGTTTGAATTGGTCAATTACATTTCAAGCGGCTGCCATGTGTGTTTGTTTACAATCTAATTCGCACTGTCTGACAGTGGCATTATGTATAAAATCTGCCTGCAATCACTTCTTATGAATGCAAGAAGCTTGGACCCGGGAATGAGACCATAGCTCAAATAGCCAATTTCATGAACGCAAGCATTCCGAAGCTATTTTTACACACGGTAAGCGCCGCTCCAATACATTATCGATGCTAATGTACACCATTGATAACGTACTAAAACTTTCAATCCATCAGTAGTGCATTTTGTTTATTTCTAATTCGTCCTGGGCTAAAACTCACAATGATGAACAAAAATGTACTAGAGTCATATAATTGCTGAGATCCAGAGACCACGTCCGGGCCGCGGGCCGCACGTTGGGCAGCGCTGCTAAAGTGGAAAGAGGAACGAAAAGGCAAATGAACTCAGCTGAACGTTGTTGCGCTTTAGTCGGAATGGACGGCACCTCATGCAATGGATAATTTTCAGTTAATACACTTCTCAACACAACTTCTGTACTTTCAATTAACACTACAGTCTTTTTAAAACCACGTAAATTTTCCACATTTCAAGAGCCACATGTGAAAAGGGCATATAAGCTTTTTGTAAACAAACTTTTGTAGGCCCTCTTCTTGTCAACCGAGGGTCGCCCACGCAAACTAATAACATCATCGGGAAGGGAAAAGCTTCCCCTATCCGATGATGTTGATGGTTTGCGTTGGTGTCATATGCATGGCGAGAAAAGAGTATAAGAAGGTTTGTTTCATAAAGCTTGTATGCCCTTTTCACATGTTGTTCTTGATTTTCACAAGAACGAAAACGACGCAGCAAAACAAAACACGTCATTTTCGCAGCGCGGCTTACTTCGATCTTCGACATTTCTCGCGTCACTTTTCAAATAGACCGATCTACATTGATCGATTCTCATCTTCGACTGTCTCTCTCTCTCTTTCGTTAATAACTCGGCTCCAAAAACTTGCTCAGCTGTTCTTATCGTCCAATACGCTCAATAATACTTTCTTTTATTTAACAGACTATGTAGAAACGTTAGCCCGAGAAATATGAAAGCATCCAACTTAATTATCAGCGAAAGAGAGAATCGATCAATGTTGAAAAGTGACGCGAGATTCAGAACGCCTGCCATAACCTAAAACTACACCCTTAGCTCAAAAGTAAATTCGTGTGAACAAAGTGTGCGAACCGGATTGGTCGATTTGTAGTTCGAAAACGTCTCAATCTGCGAACCAAAAAAAAAAATAAAATATGAAAACGTCAACCTAAACCCGGTTTGAAATCTATTGGTTTGTTGCTATTGTTGTTGTTGTTGTTGTTCCTGTCACTGTTTCAATAGAAAACAAGGATTGAGTTACATTACAGCTATGACCTGCCTGTTTCCTGTTTGTTTAACATCATTGTGTTTTTATATTTTACTGCTTAACAATCAAATTCTGTTTATCTGTTTGTTTGTTTGTTTGTTTGTTTGTTTGTTTGTATGTATAAAAAAATCACCAGTTCTATTGTTTACGTTTTCTTTTCATCGGCTTCTTCATCATTAATTGTGTTTATCAATACGTAGTTTCAGTATAACACTATTGCAAATAATTAATGTTTGTCTATTGAA